CGCTCCCTACTGTGGCGAATGCCCGAGCCAGCGGACGCGGTTGGAGAGGCTACGGGTCGCAGGCCCATCACCGATGCGGACGGCACGAGGGTTCCCTCTGGACACGCCACAGGCCAAGGCATCGCTTGGGACAGGCCCGCCCCCGCCGAGCCGTGAATCCACCACCTTCCGTGACCAGTCAGCTGTCCTCGCTCTGTTTTTAGCTTGTCTCCAGGGACCCTGGAGGATTTCTTCAGCACCCCTCCCAAGAGGCTGGGGCGTGTGCGGTAGTTCTCAACTGTCAGCAGAAAGTGCCGGCCGCTGCCTCAGTGTCCCCACGGGCTCTGGTGTGGCGCCTTCTCTCCGAAGCCCCCTCTCCCCTCCTGGTCCCCCGCTCTGTCACTGGCTTGCAAACAGTCCCAGAGACCCATGGCACGCAGGCCGACAGTCATCAACCGAACACTCTGAGATGGGCAGAGTTCAGCAGGACCAGGGGAGCCGCTTTTGCTCAGTCGGAAACGGAGAGGACGGGCCCGTTCCCAGCAGCAGCTTCTCCGGAGAACCCTGGCCGAGTGCCACCGCCAGGCTCCTAATGAGCTCCTTTCCAAGGCCGGTCCCTCCGCCTCGTGATCCTTCCTGCTTTACATGAGCAGTGGAGGCTGAGAGAGCAGAGCTGAGCCCAGGCGCCAAGCCAGCGCCAGGACTCAACACGACACCCACCTCGCCAGTGTTAAAGGCCCAGCGCGACCCCAGAGAAACCAGCACTCGGTCTTGACCCCTCCCCTCCCGCACTTTCCCGGTCCCCTGACAAGATCCCAGCGGATCTTCCCAGAAAGGTGATCCGCCTGAGAATGAGGCTAAAATCGAGCAGAGCCTACCTCCTCCGTTAGGCCAAGGGCCGTGCTCCCATCAATCGAGTTCGATTCATGAATGACTTTACTCAGCACTGCAGGTCTCCCTCACCCACTCTAACCCGCAGGCCCAGGGGTACCTCCTGAAACGAGGAACTGCTCCGTTCTGCTGTTTCAGGCAGAAGCTACCGCTGGGGGCGGGGTGAGGTGGTTAAAGACAGTCAGAGCCTGGCCCGGATGCTGTGGCTCAGTGGTTGAGCGTCGACCCTGCACCAAGAGGTCGCCGGTTCGATTCCCGGTCAGGGCACATGCCCAGGGTGTGGGCCTGATCCCCAGTGGGGGGCATGCAGAAGGCGGCCAATTAATGTTCTCTCTCATCGATGTTTCTATCTCTCTCTCCCTCTCCCTTCCTCTCTATCTAAAAAAATTAATGAAGGAAGGAAGGAAGGAAGGAAGGAAGGAAGGAAGGAAGGAAGGAAGGAAGGAAGGAAGGGAGGGGCCTGGATTGAAGGTTTGCAGTGATGTCTCCCAATTCCCCAGGTCACGGTTCTGTGCATGCACGGGACACGAGGGTGCACGCTGAGGCCGATCGTGTCCAAAAGGGATTCGATCCAATTCAGTGAAGAGACAAGCTGCTTGGACACTGGAGGCCCCAGGAGGCCTCGTCACCATGAGTGCCACTGGACACACCGAATGACCCCACCCACAGGACCGCCAAAGCCACACTGCCCTTCGGGGGCCGCTCCTCGGAATCCCACACATCCTTGGCAACGACATCCTCGGGGCCCTGGTGACCACCGGTGCTGGGGAATAAGGAAGCCGACGCAAGTCCCGTTCGATGTCTGCTCTCAGCTCAGGCCACTGTAGCTGTGACTGGACTCACCATTTCCCAAGGACCGGCTCCTTCTACCAAATACCGCAAATCCCAAGGTCAGACCCGAGGTGAACCCGACTCCCGTCTCCCCCGCCATCCACCAGGCAGCGCGGCTCACCCAGTCTTCCTCCTCACACCTCACTCTTCCCTCTGTCTGTCCCCTCTGGTCATCCCCGTAGCTCGGGCCCTCGGAGCCTGGCCTCCGCTCTCACCGCAGCATGTGTCTGTTTCCCCGACGCCAGCCCCTCTTTCCACGACTCTGCTCTGCACGCTGCTACCAAGCAGTTCATCACCCTCAACTGTTCTTGGTTAAGATTCCCCCCCAAACAGACAGCAAGATGACTGAGGTTCCTTCATTTATCCCAGGGGGTGGGGGGTGAGCAGTGAAGCCAGACGAACCAGCAAGGGGACCTAGCCTGCGGGGACCCCCTCCTGAGGCAGCCAGATTACACCTGTCGACACTGTCCACCTGTGTGCCTCCTCGGCTGAGGGCTGCCCCTTGGAGCACAGTTCCCAACCACAGCACAACCAGCGCAGCGTGTACCACCCAGGATCCCTTCAGAACCAGGACTCAGAGGCTCAGGGAGAGGCTGAGCAACGCACGGAGCTGTCCAGCAAGGCTGCAGTGAACTCTGTGTGGGCCACGGTAGCTTCTCAGCACCTGCGGGAGGTCCTCACTCCCTGGGCCTGCCTTCCGGGTAGGGCTGCAGGACGTCCAAGTAAACTGGAGTGTCAGTTAACAACACACAGTTTGGCTTTTTTTTTTTTTTTTTAGTATAAGTTTATCCCAAATGGTGCACAGAGCATCCCTGTACTAAACATTTGTCTGTTGATCTGAAACTCTAATTTAACGGGGCACCTACTCTTATTTGTTAAATCTGACAACCCCACTTCAAGGCCCTCCTTGATCTGGCCTCAACTCGCACTGATCACTCTGAACCTGAAACCCTCTCGTTCAGGAGAAGGGGCTCTTCGCTGTACCTGGAAGCAGTCAGCCAACTTCTGAGTCCACGGGGGTGCTCAAGCTGGTTCCCCGTCAGGAACAGCCCTTGGCTTCTTGTCTCGTCCTGTGCACCATTTCTGGGTGTAATGTCTCTCAGTCACCTCTCTATTCCCTCCCCTCTGAAAGCAGGTACTGCCTGCACCTGTCATCTTATGCCCCTGGGTCACCTGCTAGCATCTCTCTTACTTTCCCTGTTAGGTTCTAACTCTCCCCTAGGCCCAGCATAATGACCAAGACCCCCTGGTGCCACCAGCAAATGCAAGCCCTGTGAGGGTGGAAACAGAACCCCCTCATCCCCCCCCCCAATCTGTCTCACCATCAACCGAGCCCTGGACACATGTTACGGAATAACTGAGTAAATAGCACTCCAAGTCAGGGCTGGCTCATGTCGAGAACATTATCTGTAGAAGCCAAAGTCACTGCCCGGCACGGGCAGGGTGGTCAGAAGACCCTAACTACATGGCTGCTTTTCCACATGGACATCCTGGCCTCTCGGTCCTTTTCCAGGCCCGGGTTTGGTCCTGCACCACCACCAGCACCGCCCTGCCAGTACCCCCCACGTCTGCCACACTCGACGCCGAACTTGGGACTGGACTCACCATCAGCCCCACACCACATGGCCTGTTCACTGGACCGCGTCAGACCGGACCTCTCCTTTGCTCTTCCCTCTCTCTCTCCCCCTCACATCAAGTGTTCTGATGAAGGTATAACAGCCATACGTGGACACAACATTTGAGATTGAGAAGGGTTTTCCCATGAGTCATTTTACTGGTGCATCCCTGTGAGTAGGCAAATGATTATCTCTGTTTGACAGGGAGTACACGGCCGACTTACATGATCACTGCTTTGGGGAGGTTTGTAGTACTGATGTCTAACTTTTCATTTACAGGTGTGGTTACAGTGCCTCACATTAGCCTTGTAAACAGGCATGTCTCAATTTCAGACAGAATGCTCATTCAAAGGAATGCATATTTCTGCATATTTGGGTCACCACACTGGTGGCCACACAACAGCCAGGGATCCAGTCACCTGCTCAGGGAGCCTCTCTCTGCCAGGAAGGACTGGCCACCACACCTCAAGTTCAAGGGGCTCCCAAGTCCCCATCCGATGCCTGGGGTCAGCGCCCCTGTACTCCACCCTCCCTCATCCGAGCGGTAGGCACACAGGGCCGGGAAAGGATGATCTGTGTTCAGCAGACACAGGAGGAGGGTGCCTAATGCAGTTTGCAGAGGAAAGGAGGTGGCCAGCGGCCCCGCCCCCGCCCCGCCCTGTCGCTGTCAAGAACGCCTGTGGTTAATGAGGTGTAGGAGGCAGCTCACTGCGCACTCTCACCCTGAGCCCAAGACCAGTCACTGCAGAAAGAAATCAATTCTCCCTGAAGCCCTACGTTGTGTGTGTGTGTGTGTGTGTGTGTGTGTACGTGTACAAACATTTACTTGGGTGGTGGAGGCACGGACTGTGACCCAGTTGGGGTTTTCCTTGGGGTGAAGTTAAGGACTACAAGGCACATCCCACCACCGGATCCCCCACGGACAGACTAGGGAGGGCCACGGGAGGGGGGGCGGGGCTGGGGTGTGTGCACCTCCCAAACGCCTTCCCTCCAGCTGGACAAAGTCAAGCCGCAGACTAATCGATCGATGTTGCCAAAGTCCGTGCCGGGCTGCCCGCGTGGCTGGGGCTGAAGTGCACGCTGCAGGGATCCCCGAGCCCCCAAATGTCCGAAATGTGCTGGGGGAAAGGGTTGGCAAAGGGAATGGATGCAGAGAAGCCCCCTGTCCTAGACCTAGAGGCACCCTGAGGGAAACTGGGGAGGAAAGAAGTCCATTTGAGGGCGCAGCTACACAGCCACCCCCCTCCCCCGCTGTCCCCACCCACTGCCCCTCCCCTCCGTCCCCCGCGGCCGCACGCGGCTCCACCTCCCCAGAGCGCAGTCCACACGGTCCTTCTCCAACAAAACAACACTACGCACCGCCCCCCCACCCCCCGTACCCGCACCCGGCGGGACTACGCCCAGTCCGCCATCGGCCGGGCCGGACCCGGAGTGCGCCCCTCCCCCCGGGCCGCCCCCACCACAGCCGGTCGCTGAACCGCGGCTGCACGCGGGTTGGGAAAGAGATGGAGTCCGGGTTCGGTGGCCCAGCTCGGCTCTGCGCCCCCACCGTGCCCGCGAGCGGCCCGAAATGACAGGAGGGGCACGCTCCGCGCGCGCGGGGCGGCCCCCGTTAACCGCTTCGGCGCCGGGTCCGCAGCCACGCGGGGGCGGGGCCCCGGGGGCCGCGGTGCGGGGACTCACCGGAATGTGCACTCGCAGCGATCGCCTCTTCTGGCTGGGGTTCTTCTTGCCGCTGCTCCCGCCGGGGCTGCAAACGTCTTTCTTCTTCTTGGTGTCCATGGCCGCGCTTCCCATAACTTTAACCAGAAGTTAATTCCGGGCGGCTGTTCCTGGAATACTGTCCTCTGCTCCGAGCCCGACCGCGAGCTGCGCGCTCGTCACCGCGGCCCTTCCTCCCGAAGGCACCGCGTGGGGACCTGCGCGGGGAGGGAGGGCGGAGCAGGTACCTCCGGCCGCCGCCCGCCGCCCGCCGCCCGGGAGGGCGAGAGCGCTGAGCTCGTTTCCTCTTCCTCCTACGGGCTCATCAGACGCCAAAGCAAAGCCACAGGCTGTCCTGGTTCTGGTCTCTCTCCGGGTTACGCGGGGCAGACGTCTCCAGCTGGGTGACAAAGTTTTCCTCCTGCAAAGCGAAGCGACAGTGCCACCTCCTCGGCTCCTCCCCGGGTCCCGGAGGCGGTGTGACAGGCAGGTGCAGTTACACGCAGGATCTGGACAGCCACCTCCTCGGCCCGCGCCCCGTGGACTCCGGCGAGACGGGGACAGTTTGTGCGACTGTGACCCTTGGCCGCGGAATAAGCCAGCCCGGAGCCTGGGACGGGGCCGTCCTCCGCGCGAGGGAGGGACGAGGGGAAGAGGAGGCGCAAACGCGGGCTCGGCGCGCGGGGCTCGGGCTCGGCCGCCAGCACGGTCTGCGGCGCGGCTCGCGCGGCCCGGTCCTCCCGCCGCGCCCGGGCCGGGGACGCCGAGGGGCGGCGCGGGCGGCGGGGGGGCGGGCTGGCGGGGGGAGCGGGCGGGGGCGGGGGGGCGGGGAGCGGGCGGCGGGCGGCGGCGTGCACCCAACAGGAAGTGCGCGCCGCGCGGCTCGGCGCTGCCCCCGCGCCCCGCTGCGTGCCGGGCGGGCGGGGGCTCCCTCCCCGGCGGCCTCGGCGGCGCGGGGCTCGCTCGGAGCTGCTTTCCGACCGTGTCGTGGGGGCCCCGGCCTCTCGGGTTCTGCCCGAGCCCCTGAAACACGCCCACGCGCGCCGGGCCCCGCAGACGCGCCGCGGCGGAAGCGCCGGCCCTCGGTGGATGCACCCAGGTCCGCACGTGCTGAGCGAGCGCGCGCGTGGAGAGGCGGGGGTCGCGCGGGGCTGCAGCCCGGCCACCCCACCCCACCCCACCCCTCCCGCTCTTCCAGGGTCGCCAGGAGTTGCGCAGTGGACCCACGGTAAGTGTCCCGGTGCCGTACCGCAACCCGGCGCCCCGAGAAATGCGGGGTTCCTCGGGCTGCGGCAAGAAACAAGTGAGGAGAGGCCTCCACGTGCAGCCGCGGTCGTAGCGAGCCAGCGCCTCGCCCTCGCCATTCTGCCAACCTTGCCGAGGGCCCGAGCGGGTTCTCCGGGTCCGGGGTGACCCCCCCATAGGACGCGACCTTGGCCCGGGCTGGAGGTAGGGTGAGTGCTGGGTCGGGTGCTGAGGACGGTGGCCCCCAAAGTCGTTCAAGCGCGGTGAATGCTGACGTCAGCCCTGCTGTGACCCGTGATCAGTAACGCAGGGAGGCCACCCAGAGAAGACGCAGCACAGGTCACTTTGGGGGACCGGTGAGGAGATGGCTCGAAGAATGTTCGCAGAGAAGGAGGGTTGGCCCACCTCAGGGACACCCTTGTTGGCGCCTCCCACCCAGCCAGAAGCACCCCTGTCTCAGCCATCTTCCCCGCTTCCCTTTCCAATCCAGGTCCCCTCTCTTGTTTGAAATCTCCTAGTCTGGCTGGCTCCTTGGTTCACAGGGGCGGGTTTCAGGTGGGGTTGTCCTCCTCCCCCTGCCCTGCTCTCCAGACCAGAACGAACCCAGACTGGGAAATGGGCCAGGCCCTGGAGCAGTGCCGGTTGACAGAAGTCCGATGCTCTGGACGGGGCACGTCTGGGTTCAAAAACCAGGTGGCCATCTGGCCTCAGAGCTGTGGAATTTCTGGCTTTGACGTTTTTTCCTGACTGGCTGCGTGGGGGGAGGCGGAGACTGCATGATTCCATTAGATGCTGGAAACCCAGGTTCGGTGTAGGAAGGGGCTGGCCTTTAGCCTGGGCCATGGGGTTTAAGGGAGGGACAGAGCCCACCCCTCACCACTCAAGGTTATTCCCCAAACTGTCATTTAAATTTCATTGCTTTAGCTTAAAATTTTAATCCTAGTCACAAGGATAATGTGCTAGGGTGTGCACTTGACTCCAGTGGATGAGAACGGGGTTTGGAAGGAAAGAGGGAAGAGAGGAATGGTGTAGGAATTCAGGAAGCGCCCCCAGGGGACGGGTCCCCAGGAAGCCCTCTGTGATTTCCCCTGCTCACTGCTGTGCCTGGGGCCTGTCTGTCCTGGCTCATGGGCTGTGCCTAGCAGTCGTTCTAAAGTGTACTTTTTTTTGTCAGCTGACTTGTGTGCCCAAGCGGTCATTAATAAAATTAATTTGTTCTCTGAGTTTATTTTGTTGGGGTGTGGATTTTAGTGCCTGGGAATCTTAAATCAAAGCATTTTACCAAACTGCCTGCAGTTGAAGAGCCTTTTTTGTTGTTGGTCTACATGTTAATATTTCTGAAATACGGCTTTCTTATAGATGGTGCCCAAAGAAGCTTACCAGCTATTTTTTCTTTATGAAAGAGATAAATACATTGCTCATATATCTTCCAATAAGTGGAGTCTTACAAAGGAGGGACACAGTGATTGTTTTGCTTTGGGGTTCCCTCTGAACCCCATCTTCACCTTCACCTCTAGGCTCACACAGTTATTTTAGCCAATAGCTAAACGGGGCATGCCCAGGTAACAGTGTCAATATAATAACCCCCACCAGTGTTTCGGAATGCCCTGACCTGTGACTTCCTTCTCAAAAAGAATGCAATAAGATCTACACTGAACAAAATGTCAACATTTTAATTTTTTTTTCCTTTATTGATTTTAGAGAGAGGATAGGAGAGGGAGAACGAGATAGAAACATCAATGAGAGAGAACATTGTTTGGCTGCCTCCTGCATGCCCCTCACTGGGAATCAGGCCCACAACCTGGGCATGTGCCCTGACGGGGAATCAAACCGGTGACCTCTTGGTACATGGGTCGACACTCAACCAGTGAGCCACACCGGCCAGGCAATATCAACATTTTAAATAAAGACAGCATTACTGATTTCGTCTTTCACCTCAGGCTCCAATATTACTCAGCTCAGCATTGTGATTGATCCTGTCTTTATGAAGAAAATCTGATTGGGGGGGCTGCGTACAAAGTAAAGTGTATATAGAAAAACAATTTTCCCCCAAGAGGCTCTTAGTGGTCACCAGATGTCTATGGGATCCCTCCATTTTCCAGTGCATTGCAGTTAGGATAGGAATACGCAGTTAGTTCCGGCCGAGGAGATGTGGGTAGAGCTAGTGTGTGGTTATGTCTGGGTCAGGCCGTGAAGAACTGGCATGTCTCCTCCATGTGCCCTTCCGCTGCTGCCACTCTCTTGGAGCCCAGTGTTCCAGGTGCCATTCGGCGAGGGAGCGGAGGGCAGCTCACGTGGCCTTGGACTTGGGCTGGGTTGGGCCACTGAGATTTTGATAATTATTTATCATAGCATAACCTTGCCTATAAGAAAATAGCTCACTGAGAGAGGACTTGTGGATGACTGAGGTTTCTGGCACGCCCTTGAATTTTATACCCAGAGAAAGTGCCTCGTGTGCCTCACCCTGGGGTGTGGCTCTGTCCTTCTGGTTGATGGAAGGGTGAGAAGCACAGGTCGGCCAGGAGGGGGAGCCATCCTGGGGACCAGCTTGCATACTTGAAGAGTGGGACTTGGGTTCCACCCCGGCATTGCCACTGGCCTGCTGTGGGACCGTGAGCAGCATGACAGATTTCAGTCACTCATTTCCCGGCCTGTGCGAGGAGCAAGGCGGCCATTAGGAGACTACCAGGGCCCATGCGTTTTTTATTTATTTACTTTTTGTTAATCCTCACCTGAGGATATTTTTCCATTGACTTTTAGATGGAGTGGAAGGGAAGGAGAAAGAGAGAGAAGAGTGAGAGAAACATCAATGTGAGAGAGACACATCGATTGGTTGCCTCCTGCATGAACCCAGGTGCATGCCCTTGACCAGAAATCGAACCCGGGACCCTTCAGTCCGATGCTCTAACTGCTGAGGCAAACCGGCCAGGGCTCCAAGGCCCATTTAATGGGGGCATGTGTTTTGTCCTGGTGATATGTGGTATGTCTTTGTTCATTTTCTTGCTTTGTGAATCTGTTTTGCATTGAACTTGACAAAAGTTCATGAATTGAGCCCTGGCCAGTTTGGCTCAGCGGTTAGAGCGTCGGCCTGCGGTCCAGAGAGACCCGGGTTCGGTTCCCGCTAAGGGCACGTATTTCGGTTGCAGTTTGTCCCCGGCCCTGGTTGGTTGTGCGGGTGGCAGCCACTCGATGTGTCCCTTCACGTCGATGTTTCTCTCTCTCTCTCTCTCTCCCGCTCTATCTGAACAAAAAATGGAAAAATGTCCTCGGGCGAGGATAAAAAAAAAAAAAAAAGTTCATGAATTGAAAATTTAAAACACGCAAGCAAACCAAAGATCCCCGGGTCTGCATCAAGGGTGGTTTAGGACGGTGCTTCTTGGGGAAAGATGTTTCCATTTGGGGTGTTCATTGTCTAGGCCGATAATAATGAACTGCCAGGCATCCTATTCGGTAATTCATATTAATTACCTTACCCAATTTCTATGAAAATCTCCCAAGACAACTACCGCACACATTTTGCAGATAGGAAAAACTGACACCTAGCTAAGAGGGTTTGTTGGTGTCCATTTAACTCCTGTCCATTGATCTTAATGCACTGTACCCCCTACCCCCTGGAGAAACATTTAAAAATGTGCCCCCCACCCCCGTTGTAAAAGCTTTGCACAAGGCTAACAGTACTTACTTAGGAAACTCCTTTAGGGTGACCTTGGACAAACTCGTCAGCATCCTAGCCACCTTGGTCTCTGTCTGTGACATAGAGCTGAGAGAGAGCAGTGACCTGTGTGGCCAGGAAACCAGGGACTGATTCTGTGCAAGAAAAAAATGAAACAGCGAGAGTCTGGGCTGAGGACTCTGCCAACGCTCGGGTAACTCGCTGGACACCGAGCAAAGGGAGTGTTATCTCATCACGAAAACCAGGGCGAAGAGTCACATTCCAGCCTTTATTTTCC